ACCCTACGAACCACACTGCAGTCTTTATTTGAGAGCCACAAGTCACACATCTTAGGAGTGCAAAGAAGCTCCAGGAATCCTTCACAGGCAGGAGCTATCAGTGGTCCCCCCAGGAGTCATCTACTGTGTTGTACAATGCGACCACCCTTCGATACGCAGCTGGTTCCAGGGGCAACACAATGATGTCTTTACCAGAAGCTCCTTCTAGATTACCAGTAAAAAAGTATTAAATGGAATTTAATCCAAAAAAACCACACTTGAGGGGCCACATCTGGATAGGTCCGGTGTATACACTGCCTGTATCACAAAACTTCAGCGTCTTAAGGAATGTGAAAAGCTCGCATCAGCTAAAATTTTGAAACTCTTAGAATGCTGGAATTGCACCTAAAATATGTGGAACAAGTATTTGCCAGCCAGTTAGGTTAGACAAAGACTGGGACCTGGATAAACTCAGCAGGAGTCCCAAAGCCGAACTAGAGACCAGATGCACAATGAAAGCTGTATCATGAATTTACAATTTCTTCTTTTAGTTGGAAAGGTTTCTAGACAAAAAACACTTGGGTTTTGATACATATTCTATCTGAACTCTTACAAAAAGAAGTGAAAAGATGGTTTTAACTTGAATCGGGACACCTTATCATGCTTTAGTATGCTTAATTCTGTAACAGATCATTCCCGATAAAATAGCAACTTACTAACCAAAGAGAAGATTAGTGCTAACAGAAATGAAGAGCTTGCTTTATCCACTAGCTGTTCGCAGTAAGTTCTCCAACAGTTTCCTTTCACCATTCAGGTACTTTCGTTGATCTGAGAATTCTTGTGCACTAACATGTAAGTACGTACCTACATGTGTATAGTTTTACGTATATGCTCTCTCTTGCTACATATACACATTTTTGTTAGTATTATCTATTAAACTTCTATCAAAAAGAAGCCAGTGCATGGGAGTAATTCTGCAAATATGCTTGGGGAATCTCTGGTTTAACTCCCACTTAGATTTCTTGAAAGCGAGAATACCTAAAGTTGTGGCTTTCAATTCCTCTTTTTTACCTGCTATGGAAGGTATGAATTTATATAGTAAATTGAAGCCTGCTGACAAAGTCTTTAGTCTTTACTTAACTATCTTTTATGGTCCACAGAGTATTCAATTCACAAAGCAAATTAAACCCACTGAAATGGAGGAAACCCACCTATCTTCTATTAACATCAGCTTTCAAGTGTGTAAAGAATGGTAAAAGTCTTTGGTGCAAGCAGCTGCTTTCTGCTTACTGCAAAAATGGGAGTACAATACATTCCAGCCAGCTGATTTCCAGTTAAGCTGCACATCGTTTTTTACCTGCAGAGAGGGAAGGTTTGCTCAAGTCCTCTATACCTTGTTCTGCAGGAAACATAGGAAGAGCAAACAGATGGGAAATCAGATTATTATTCAATTAGCACCAATGTTTCACTTCTGCAGTCCCTGTTCTTCCTGGAGCTTGTCTTGCAGTTCAGGTATAACTGCCCTTCCTTGCTAATTAAGCTTTCTTATTACTATCTAACTAGACTGTATTTACTCATATTACAGTTTGCAACAAAATGCTTTCAAGAACACTACACAAGGATGTTTTGCTCAAGAGTCAGCTTTTTCTCAGAGTATTGCTATAAAGCTTTTGTGTCTACACTCTCTCGCTGTCCAGACAAACAGTATCTGTGATATTTTACCTTGAGCTACTTAAAAATACTCTAGAGTAGTGATTCAAATAAACAACGAGCTGCAGAGTAGACTCCACTGTAACTATTGCACAGAAATCAGAACATCATGCAACAGGATTAGGTAACAGTGTTTATGCTAGTCTACAGTTTCCATCATGCTTGGTTCTAGTACTGATTTATAGCTTCAGAGGCTGCTGAAACAGGCAAGGGAAGTCCAAACAGTGCAGCCAGTTATTCAACTGAGAAAATACAAGAGATGCACTTTTCCACCTGTAGCAAAACAGAACTTCAGGCTCAACACCTGCAGCAAGGGCAAGTTTTCTGCTCATCTACCAGACAGATAAATAGATGCAATGCTGGAAAGCAGTGCAGCAGCATGGCAAATTGGCCATTTCTTTCACACACTTCAGAAATAATTCACCTTCACAGCCAGTCACAGGGAGTAAAGGACAGCTTCAATTCCTTACCACAATGCTGACAAGTGCATAAAATAAAAGGTTTACGATAGTCCCTTCTCCAGCCTTCCTACTGCTGAGAATACTACAGGCTTTCCACAACTCTTGTGAGTCATTGTGTTTCTGTAAAACAATACAATGTAGTATCCATAAGGCCTGTGTATTTTTGTAAATCCAGCCCTGATCCACTGCTTCTCTTAACTTTCTAAAATAATGATGGTGGCTCCCCTACATCAGGCTATATTTGTTATCAAGACTGTCACTCCAGAATGACAGCCATGGAAGTTTACACCAGACATCAAAGGGAAGTGAATGGCTTTATGCACTTGAAAAGTGTCAAATTTGTGAAGTGACACAAGTTTTCAAAGATTTGTAATCACCAATGCTGCTGCTTAGATTATCACTGTATTCACCTTTGTCTCTTCTTTTCTACCAGTTCTTGAGAGTTTGATCTTCTTTGCAATTTATTCCCAGCAGCAATTTTCAATTGCTTTCTTCACTTGTTCCACTTCCCTCTGTAGCATTCTGAATGGAACGGGACCACTAGAAGCTTAGTAAACGTATTTTGTTACTGATCTCTACTTCCATTCTGTAGAATTCATATTTCCAGATTTCAAAGCTAAATACAGCAACACTTCCGAAGTTGCAGTTAGCTATCTGTCTGCAGTAGCAGCTTGTAAGGCAACTCCTTCCTCCCCAAGTAAAAACCATCCAGTGTTCTAGAAACTTACAAAGAAGAAGAAAAAAAAAAAAAGACTAAACAACAGGGGCAAGTCATATAAAGATATTCCGTAAGTGTCACACTCCTTTTGCAATAATTATTTTAATAATGGAACTAGCCTAGACAGAAAAGGGTTCCATCATTTAAAATGGAAAGCTTTCACCTTTCATTTACAAAAACAGTTTCCTGATAATGCACGGCAAACATGAAAATAAGCTTTCCAAGACCTGCCTGTGAATTAGGTTATGAGATTAATGATTGATACAGTCCAAGGAAAAAAGTTTTTAGCATTTTAAAACTTTTTAAAACTTTAAGATGCACTCAGTAGGACATTTAAGATGAAGAACAAAGTCTCACTTCACAGGCAAGTATCAAGTTTTGAGTACAACGCATCCTCATGATACTTACTTTTAATGAAGTTGCTGGGATCTTTATGATGTTTAGCTGGTTTAGTCTTACAAATTGCTACAGATTTTAAATAACTTTGATACACTGGTATTTATGGGCAGTCACAGTTTGATACAAAGTAGTTTTCTGCATAATCTGTAGCAAGGTGGCTTGTTTCAGGTAGTAAGAAAATTCACACACAAAATCATCAGGCTTGTCCCTAGTAAGTTCAGGTTTGTTGGAGGCCTTGAAGTTCAGAAGACTAGCCTTGCTTACACCATTTTATTCGTTCATGTTTCTCTTCTCGCCTGACAAGCCTTTTTTTTTTTAAAAAAAAATTAACCAGGAATATTTTGCCCCTTACTAGAAGAAACGCCAAATCTATTTGCTAGCTGGAACAGTATCAACTTTATTGGAAGCAGAAATCTTCAAAAATTATTATGTATTAGAGCTTACAAATTATTCACAAGATTGAAAGTTTACTGTCTAGGATATTCCTTTGCATAACACGAAGCTTGACATAAAAATACACAAAAGTTATTAAAGTTTCTTTAGTTTTACTGTTCATAAATTCCCTTGTGAGTTGCACCTAAAGTCACCTAAACATTTCTCTCTTCCCCTTCTTCCCACTCCATCATACACTGTGCTACGTGCAAGCTTAACGGCCAGCACATGCTGACTGATCAGCTGGCAATTATATTCTTCTTGCATTTCTTCACCTGAGGCAATAATTTACATCTCTCTCTACCCAACTGGAAGTTTCCATAAAGTCCGCAGAACAGAGTTTTCTTTATGACCCTCTGACTGACAGAATCAGCTAACTGGTTCAACAGGCTGTGATCAGAAAGAGGGGCAGAGAGACAGATGGGTGGGTAGACTAACAGCATGGTCACAACCACCTCTTAGAAGAGAGGTCTAAAACCACTTCTTATTTGCAAGTTTACTTTGACTTCTTAAACCTTTGGCATTCATCATATTTCCAGTTTTAGAAATCTAATGCTTCTAGCGCAGGAGGGACTTTTTGAACTTAGTATTGTGCTAGAAAGAAAACTTAATTCCACCTCTACAAATTGGCTGTCATCCTGCATGGATGCAGGAAGTTCTAATCAGGCTCTTCCAAACATATGAACACTCTGCACATGCTAGAAGACTAGCATTCAACATTAGAGGACTGATTTTTTTTTTTTTTAAGTAAAAAAACAGCTGGAAAACTGTACTTTCACTTCAGAAAACAAATACAAAGTTAAAACTTTAAGTTATACTGCTCTGACAGCTCTAAAGAGGGAATAATCATGAAGTATTCTATATCAAAAACTAAAATGAACAGCCCACTGCTCCACCTTTAGAGATAGTCTGCTTAGGGTTTTATACAATATATATTATGCATGTGTGCCTTGCACTTTACAGACAGTAGCTTTATTTTAACATTCCAATCCAATGTTTCAGCTTTTGACACCTCAGATATTTTTTTTCCTCAAAAGATTAATACTATCCTGTTGGATGCTAACACGGTTTTAATACTATTTAAGCTTTATTATGTAAGGCGTATACAAGATCATTATAATTCTTAGCTGAAGCGATGTGAATGTAACAAGCAGATTAAGCACCTGTAAGAAAGCACGTCCAGTCCTCCTAACTGTGCTAACCAGGACACTTAGGCACCAAGTTCAAATACCAACCAGTCTTAGTAAACAAAATATAGGAGAATACATAGTCAAGAATAACTGAAATGAGCAAGTGCTTACCTTGACTCTCCACTACTGTTTCTTACACTTTCTTCATCACTGTGCCCATTCATTGTAAATATTAAGAAGTTTAAAAGATAAATAATAAGTCCACTCAGGTTACAAGGTGGATATCAAGAATCCACTTCTTGGTACTTTGTACGTTTTCCAGGTGATGTGTTTGCTCTAGTGTTCTCTGCGGGTACTCAAGATTTCTCCCAAAATACCTAAAATAGGTAAAGGAAAACGTTGACACAATTTGAAAGTATGTTTGCAACTAAAAAAAAAAATACCAAAAGTAACTTGGTCTTTCACTAACGCTGAAAGAGGGCATCATGCTTGACGTCATGTTTTTAACTGAAAAATAGGTTTTTGTGTGTTACCTGTTCATGGTTGATCATTTTATCACCATTTTCTTGTCGGGAAAAAAATTAAAATCTTTCCTGATGTCCGTAAAAACCAGAAAAAAATCTTCAAGAGAAGAACAGGTCTTTTTACTAGTTACACTTAAAAAAATTGAAAGACCTAAATGAAATACACAAATGCATGAAAGCAAAGACATGTCTAGCTTTTTGCTTGACTGCAGTTGGGTCCCAACATACAGGCCATTATGCTTCTTTATGCAACTTTTCATTGATGATGCTATAAAGATGGCAATTTCTGAAAAAAATGCAGAATAGGAAATGTTATGGAAATTCCACTCTCTTTAGCATTGCAGGATGAGAAGAACAGCTTACTGCATGTCTGCACTATATGTCATGACTTAACTTTTGCCATAATACTGATTCCAGGACAATGTAGATCTAAATATTAAAGAAAAACTGCCTACCTGAATACATAGGTAAAACCCATAAATATTAATGTTCTGCTAAGATCTGCTTAGTAAAATCTATTTCATGCACAAAACATAATAGAAGCATTTCCAGATACAAACATAATGCTTATATCTAGTTGTGGGTAGAGGCAGGAAGATAAAGACTGTTCCGTTTAAAACAACTGTCTCAACTAAATCAAACCATCAGGATCCCACAGATGGAATGATCATTATTTCACATACAAGAGTATCTTAAATCAGATCACTGCAGTATCCGATGCAACTAGAGAAAGTTTAGGCTCACTCTAAATGGACTGCAAGTATAAACTCACTGATAATCAGATAAGGAGCAGCGCCTCTCACAGACTTGGTGGTGTGAAAGCGATTAGGGGCTCGCCTGCTGGCTGCCTGCCCCGAGGTGCTCTCGTCTAATACACAACAGCCCAACCCAGAGCTCATCGGGTGTGGGGGGGGCGGAAGCCTCGCTCCGGGGTGGGAAATGCCCTGCGCTCAGGCACCATCTCAGACACCCGGGCCACTCCGGCCAGCAAACA